CGGTGCCCGCCGCGTTCTCAATCTGCCGGCACTGCTCCTCCAAGAACCGCAGTAGATCACTGAAAGGCGGAATATAGGAGGCGCCGTCCCCGCCGTACCTCTCCTCAAAATGTATCCGAAGGTCGAGAGGCAGGCGGGACAACACGATGTGGAGCAACAAAAAGGAACATTCGTCCACCGGTAAATCCAGCTGCCTCAACGCATTACAGGCCACCAAGACTGGATTCACGAGGTCCGGACGTAGTCTGGCCCGGTCCCTAAGCAGCGGGAGGCTTAGAAGCTGCCTAACGTATTCGTCCGCGATTCGCCGGACGTTGGCGTATCTTCCGGCGAGGAGGTCCCGGGCAGTCTGGTAGGCGTCATCCGACAATCTCAAATGACCGACGACGCCCAGGGCCTCCCCCTCCAGTGAGGCTAGGAGGTACGCCATCTTCTGGCTTGATGTCAAGTCCCTCCGGGCCTCCTAGTGGACACTAGGCTATCAAAATCTAACAAAAGTCATCCAGTCGGAGAGGACCCCGGAGAACCTAGGCAGGTCCAGAGTTGGGAGTCGTCCCAACAGCTCCAGCTGAGTAGGCCGCTTCCGAGGGGACTCGGGCAGGCCACTCATCAGAGCTTCACGCGCTTCCTTAGCATACTTGGCCCCCGCCTCGATCAAGTCGGCCGTGATCGAAAAGAACTGCTCGTAGTCCGCGAGGCAGGAGTCCAGGACTCCCTCGATACCATCGGGTGACGCACCGGGCGCGCGTTATTGGATGCAAATTTCAAATGCCCATATTTGGGCCTAAACAAAATCCATGATTAGTCACCTGAGACGATATTATAGACAGCATTAGACTTACCTCCGTTGAAGCGTTGCAGAGTATTCCGGCACCAATCTACACGAGCCGCCTTTTGCTTTTCGGACAAATTGTGGGGAACCCAGCGGCCCTTCACAAGTCCACTGCTGAACACAGGCCTCACCCAAGAAATGTCACAAAGCACGGTCCTGAGCCACCTGCATCCATCGACTTCCTGCATGTCTTACCAGGCCGTCACTCCATCTAGTGGGGGGACGCCCTACACTTCGCCTACCGGCACGAGGCTGCCACTCGATAAACGTTTTTCCCCATCGGTTGTCGGTCCTTTGACCTATATGGCCAGGCCATTACCACTTCAGCTTACTAATCCGTTGGGCTATGTCGGTCACTCTGATTCTACTGCGGATAATACCCTTATTTCTAAGGTTATCACGTAGGGAAACCCCGAGCATAGCCCTCTCCATAGCTCGCAGAGCGACCTTGAGCGTCCTAATTCGGGCAGCACTGAAGGACCACGTCTCAGATCCATAAGTCATCACAAGCAACACGCACTGGTAGACAAGTCTCGTTTTCAAGTTTTGAGATATACCTGACGAGAAGATGTGTCGTAATTTCCCGAACGCTGCCCAACCCAATTGAATCCGCCGATTGACCTTTCGGTCGCAGTTGGACTTACCTAGTCGGACTATTTGTCCCAGGTGATCATGTCAACAACTTCGAGCTTAGAGCTCCCAACAAGTAACAGCATAAGTATCACATGGACGTAACACATGATCTTTGTTATGTCCATGTTCATCTTAAAAGCTATCCGTTGGGAGGCATTATTGAGGTCATTGAGAGATTATATATATAGCGTAACATAAAGCCTTTAAAGTTAAAGTTACAGCCTATATACATCCCACTGCTGGGCACAGGCCTCTCATTTCTGAGAGGGTTTTAGGACAAGGAATGTCCACCGCACTGTCCTAATGCGTGTTGGCGCACTTCACATGTCTTCAAAATATTGTTTATTTCTTATTTCTCAGACATGCAGGTTTCTTCACGACGTTTTCCTTCACTGTTGAGCACGTGGTAAATCAGTAAATCATCACGAACAACGTGAAACAACGCCTACTTCCTGATTCCGGGCTGTTATTGAGAATTGCTTGAAAATTGCAATGTGACGGATTAAGAATTTTTATGTACAAAATACTTCAGATAAGGCATAGATTCTTTTATGCTATGTATAAATTAATTTTGTGACATTTGTTAAAAGGTCACTGAACCTAGCACCAGTTGGATTCTTTTTGTTTTGAGTTTTTCTTATTTTTAATTAATTGTTCCTCGTTTGTCCGTTATTGTTCGAACATAAAAATTGTTTATTCGTCTTTTAATTATTTTTATAATTAACTAAACAAATTTCATCCTTAGGTTGGCCCGCCTTATTGTTAATTTCAACTTTTATGCCTTAAATTAATTAAGTTTTACTAAATATAATTTTGTTCGATCGCTATTGATGATTCTTCGATCATAAATACAACTTAATTGTAAATGATTCAATATTTATAATTAAAAAACTGTCATCCCCTTATGTCTGTGTTGCGCATGCGCCTACCTTGGGCTCACTGAACCTAGCCCCACTTTTTGAACAATTTATTAAAAATAAGAAAAACTCAATTTAATCAAAAAATCCAAGTGTGGCTAGGTTCACTAAACTTAGTATAAATTATTTCTTTCCTTGCATAACTCCAATTTTATTAATCTATGTATGTATTGCATTTGACCTATTTGACATTTATTTTATTGACATCAAGTTGCGTCATCAGAATGCGTTATTAGCATGATATTATAGTCCAGTGATATAAGTCTGTGACCACAGACTAATAAGTACTTCTTAAGTGAAGCGTACTGTGACATCGATTTTTTGGAGGGAACTTTATCGTCGGCGGATTGCTGCTCCTGTATTATTGTTACAATAATGGTTTGAAGTGGATTTTGATATGTTAAAGTGGTGCGAGTTTGTGTTATTACATGTCTGCGCATGTGAACTAAATATTATGCTGCGTATCCACCGAAAATGTTGACAACATTTATGTTTCCAACTGTTTGCAACTCAACAAAAGTTACCAACTTTTGTTCCGATGTTTTCGCATCGAATTGAAACATGTCGCCAACAATTTGAGAAAAATTTTGGTTGACAACTTGCTGTGTCCATCAAAGCTTTGTTAGCAACAATATCTCTTCAAGTGACGATATTATGCAGGCAGCCGCAGTATTTATAATTTTATGCAAAAAAAACACCACTACTTTTGGAGTTACCCTTAATAATGCGTATTAATATTGAAGTCGGTTATAGGCAAAATTATTAATGTCATTAGTTGTCTCACTTCCACTCCTTTGAAAAACGTTACCTCCACACTAGGATTTGATCCTATATCGCAGGGACAGTTTACATACACAGAACATCTTTTTTTTTCTCTTCCTTGTAACATTATTTTGTGTGCACATAAATTGTTAAATAAATAAATAAACAGACCTAAAACAATTATTTGTAGGCCATACAAATACTTGTTCCGTCTGGGATTCGAACCCACGGCCCTTAGCGCTGCAACTAATTACTAAACCACAGCGCCACAGAGCCGTAACTTGTCTGTTTCACATTTTTTGCTATTTACAAACACGTGACACGCGACTTCACGCGGTGAGAGATGCAGATAGCCACGCTCTGTCCCTTTTCTTCTAATACGTTACGTCTATTTAGTTCTCTTTTCTATCAAGCAGTTTATAGTTTTTTCTATCTGCGAGCTTTGCCAACGCTTTGGATTTTTCCGTAGATCTACGGAATTTTTTCATAGTCTACGGAACTACGGAATTTAATTTCCATGTTAATTTATTTGTACTTCACAGTCCTTTCAGAATAATTAGATTTTTAAAAACTCAACAATAAAAACATGTTTTATCATGAGTGTAAGCTTAGCCGACAACCGACAATCGAAAATTTTAACAATCGAAGTAATTTTTTTAGTATAACTATACACAAATATTTAAGTGATAATTATTTTGTTTTCTTACTTTACTTAATATATATAAAATATAATATACTTAAAAGAAAATAATTATTGTTTATCAATTTTTATGGTAGGTACTTTTTTCTTATATGTGCAGCTTGATTCGATGTTATACTACAATTGAACTTACAACAAGAGCATTTTTTATAGAATATGGGTGACAAACGTGCACAACGTCCACCTGATGGTAAGTGGATGCTGTGGCCCATAGACATCTACCTTTATCCTCTATTGATAATCAAACTGCAGATGCGTTGTCACCCTAGAGGACTAAGATGGAATGCATTATTTCCTGTAAAACGGGTCTCCGGTTCTCTACACTCACCATACGAAACACAGCAGCATTAAGCTGTTATTTTACATTGGTATTCTGTTAGAGCGTGGTCCTACCCCGTGCAAGCCGAGCCATTCATGCTACAACCATAATATAGCTGCAGCGTGGCTTTATCACGTAAAAGTAGGAATTTACGGATTTTTTTATACCATTCTACTGATTTGGAAAAATTCAAGTTTGCAACACTGATTGAAATTGACATTTGACATTTTTGGCCTAAAGATTGCTAAAGATAACATCAACATAATTGTTAATTGGCAATTGACATTTATTCCTCTAGTCTGTTTCTATTTATTATAAAATTATTTACCTATGTACATAAATGAATTCTTCTTCAGTAAAATAGTTAAATATCGCAATTGATTACGATATGCATTCTATGCCATATCAACATACGTTGCTACTAGATAATTAGTTCATATTTATCTTTTTGCTATTTGCCATTAGTATTATTTCAATGCTCTTTGCTTACAAATAAGTGTTAATTAACAAAAAAGTATAATGTATTTATGTGATAATCATAAATGTTAATAACTGTTCAGTGATAATATCCACAAGAGTTTAAAATTTATTCATCCACAACACAAACTGATAAATAAAATAAATGACTTAAATATTATGATAAAATATTTATCTTTATTAAAATAACGTATATTATTATTAGGTTTTTGTTGTATAGTTATAGTATCAACACAATGTAATTACTACTTTAATGTATTGATTTAAGATGCATTATAAATTAGTGCATCTTTGAAATTACCCATAACAATGACTTCACATCAGTGTGTTAATTATATTTAGAAAGAAATATTTTAAAAGATGAAATTATCAACACCAAGATATACATTTTGTTTGTTTAGTCAGCTTATTTTTATGTTCTGCGATCTGATATTCAACTGTATTAGCTTATTTCCAAAGAGCCGTGATGGATTACTTGTATTATTCATGTATGTAAAACAGTTGGGTACAATATTATTTATTATTTTAAGGTTTGAACTGTTTAGCTAATTACAGTTCATATTGTTTTTTAGATTCCAAGACTTATTTCTAATTCTCTCTGTCACTTTGATGTTGATGACTTTTTTCTCTACATATTTGTTTCAAGTAAGTACCAAATTTGTTCAACATTTCTGTTATAATTCATGAAATTATTATAAACATGTGGAGTAGGCCGTTATTGAACTTAATAAGAATTCCCATTAACAACATAAATGTGAAAAAGGGGCCTAAGTTTGGTTGTCAGCTTTGCTGATGAAGCACTTGGTTCCTATTTACATTGATGATTTGATTTTTACAAAATAGCCTCCTTTGAATCTAAATCAATATATGAACTTCATTATTTTTTCTCATGCTTTCCCTTCACTGTTTTTTATTTTTAATTTAAACTATAAGAATTAAATTTATTGTTTTTATTTTTTATATTATGGAAAACCAACAGCTTACAAATCATAAGTAAATAACATGTTTAATATAAATGTCAAAAAGTATGGTGCCTAACCACACCCATGGATCCTTACCTTTGTAGCCTGATCTACAGTAATGCCAAAATTCAAGTTTCTGTGTAACAATTCTGTGAGAGATAGAAATGCTACTTTTTAGACTTTATTAACTCAATAACTAGAATAGGTTTTGAGTTATGGGGAATTCAAGTGGCTTGAAATCGTTCATATATCATATAAATATACACACTACTGGTGTATCATTCTTTTTTTCGAACTTGCATGACACACTGCTATGTGTCTATATAAAGAATATAACAATGTAATTTTTGGGCTAGCATGAGGTGTGGGGTATGGGAATGGTTAGCTAGATTTCTTTTGAAATAAGAAGTGCTTGAATATGTTTTATTTTTTAATTCTTATTAAGGCTCTAGAATGGTCAGAAATTTTTAAATTATTATAAAACACGGTTCTTTTTATTAATTTTCTAGGCCGGTCTGGTGGAGGTATTAATACGCAAATTCCGTGCAGCGGGATCCGTCATTGCTGCATACATGGTAATCAGTGTTACTCTACATGCTGTGTGGCTACTTGAGAAGTGGTCATATCCTGAATCTGTTTCTACACCATTACTGATTGTGCTGTTTACATTGCAAAGATGCTGTGAGTGTAATTTTTTATATATTACTGTTTTCCATGTTGATTTATTTTTTATCAGTGTTATAATTACAGTTCTATGGAACATACAAAATGAAGTCCTTATGAAACCACCTTGGTGTTTGTCTATCTTTCTGTCACAGAATGCTTTTTTTCAGTGAGTCACAGAAAGGACTGGAGTTTTGCATAGATTATAAGATATTATTACCCAAACATGCAAGTTTTAAAATTTGAATTATTGACTAAAGTGGTTAGTAGCATAATATTATCGAAGTTCATTGAGTGGGGAGTTAATTCAAAGTTTTTATAGCGAACTGCTAATTATGAAATGCAATAAAGATTATTTCTAATGTTAACTCTTTGGTTGTCACATGAATTGATCATAGGTGGAATAAACAGTTAAAAACTGGGCTTATTCGATGCAAACCTAAAATCCCTTTGCCTAAAACCGTTTAATAATGTTTAACATAACTGAAATAAAGCAATTCTTGGACTTACATTGTGTTCGCACCACTTTTACACTACCGCCTAATGCTTATGTGATTTGTTAATTATTATTTATTATCCAATTAGAGTACTGCAGATAGTTCATTTTCAGGATTCTTACCTACAACCTTTTTTGCCTTTAGCATGCATGCGCACTCTTGTGTTACCGGGGTTCACATAAGACATTGCTTGGATTGGATTGGAAGTTGCATTACCACTCATCTTGCTTGCTCTTTGTTACCTGTCTGTCAATTTTTGTGTGAATATGTGTGAATGGCTCTGCCAATCCAATAAAAAAAAAATAATGAGGTACCAAAGACGTAAGACGTTTGGTAGTACCGCAATCGCCAATCCCGTTACCGAGTGGCGGCGAATACTGAAATTACTCTTTTTTTTATGTGAGAATTAGCAAAGGTTGTAATATTATGCATATATTTTTGAACAGTGTCCCCATGGTACTACTTCTTCTACAAGCGCGCAGCTCTACGTGTTAGTGACCCACGCTTCTATGAGGACATAGACTGGATCAACAGACAGCTGCAAACACATTAATTAGACTCCCATCTTCTGTAATTCCACAGTTCTATATTAACACTACCTGGCCCGGCAGACGTTGTTCTGGTAGGTGGTGCTGTTAGTTTTTCTCTAAACTTCTTACAGTACAAATAAATTTATTCATAACTTGACTACAGATCCACCTATCAAGTACAAATATTCTTATATGTTTTCTTTTTTGGCACTATCAGACATCTTGGATCCCAGTATAGCTTTCATAATACAAATATATTGTATGTATTTGACCTCAATTAGTCAAGTTGTTCAAAAGTTAAGCAATTACTAACAGACGTAGCAACAACTATACACCACTGTTTTGTAAGTACCAAAAAAAAATTAAGGACAGTTGCAGCAGATGCTACTAGTGATAATGGCACTGTCAGAATTTTTTATTATTTATTTATCACAATGTTATCGACATTTGTTTTTATCCAAAAACTGGAGTAATTTTATTGGCACAGTACTAGAAAATACTACACAAGTCAATAACTTATTACGCACTCCATTCTAAGACGCTGCCGCTCCATCTCCCACCATTAGTACAGTAACCTACGTCACAACCTCTTTCTCACTCGTCGTATTCTCTCGCTTACTTCAACGGCTCACGAAATGGATGCCGACCGGCGTGTGAGCGAGACACCAAGCGATTTATGAATGGATCGAATTGAAGTCAATCCTATTATACGTACCTACTATGATAAACAAGTAACTAATTATTATTATTATGTTCTTAAGATATTTTTTTGAATTAATTATTTTTAAGTTTTTCCTACCTAAATGTGATCAATAACAAACATTGAGAGCGCACCTATTTTTTTTTGTAATTACAAAATATTAGTGTATATAAATAATTGCACAAGTAGGTATGTTATACCAAGCATTTCTTTAATAAATAATTAATACTTAATTATTCAAATATAACTTGCAGGTCTAACAATCTTTCAAACATATTTTATTGTATTATGTATTGTATTTTAAGTCTTCTATCACAATCATAAACAAGCTTAATAACTATTTGATGTTTTTATGAACTAGTGATGTAATATTAAGGTATTATATATCAAAGATGTACAGTATTAATCAAGACAGTGTTAATAACTACAATATTTATCGATAAGTTGTAGTGGGTGGCTACCACTGTTTTACTATGTGGTTCTTTTTCTGCCTAAGAGTATGGTACCACACTTTTCTATTTATGTCCAGCAGTAGTGACAACACATCAGTTCCCTCCTTTGTGTCAAGTTAGTTGCAGGTTTTTACTGGTTGTATCCACTAATTACCAGGTGGTCTGTTAACTTCTTTTTCACTCTAATGTTAAAAAAATACAAGATTCTGACTGTTTGCTATTTTGGGAGCAATTGAGAGGCAATGTTACAAACGGAGAGGTTTTGAGCATAACAGTTCCACCATGTCTGTAGCCAAAGTGTAATAAATATCAATGTAACTTAAATGATATTAAGCTATTTTTTGATCTCATCCATGTGGATATTTCTAGTCATAAAATTGCCATTAAATATAAACTATTATACAAGATGTGTACAAATAAAACTGTTGTCCTGATTCAAATAATTTATTTTTCAAGAAAAGAATTTTCTTATTTATTTTCATAAAGCAACAAAGTCACTATCGTTATGTTATTCAGTAATTTGTAATTAACTATTTAGAAATATAACCGCTTGTATTGTACAAATTTAATAAAATATATATAAAAATTTAAATTTATTATGTATTACTTATTTACACCCTTTCAATCTACGACACTTGAATTCTATGACCGAAGCAAAGGACAAATTGTAACAATTGTTGGTTTTAACAGTTTACAAATAATAATTATTATAAGCAAAATCTAATCTCAATTTTTTGGGAAAGATTATGTAAGATTTTTAAATAAACTAAATGTTAATTTTCAAGTAATTTTATTGAGAACAAACAGTATTGCCAGTGAACTAAATGTTAATTTCCAAGTAATTTTATTGAGAACGAAGAGTATTGCCAGTAAGAACTGAACACTTAAAAATTATTTAAAGATGGCAACTCATATTATCATTTGTATTTACAATATTCTGGTAATAATGGTAATTATAAAATGAATGACCAGACAGGTCACAGGTTGATTGTACAATAGTACTAAATATTAACATTGCATGTAGGAACGTCCTATGGCTATAAGAGATTGTTGGCAGCAAACGAACAGTTTCGTCGCAACAAGAGCGTGTGCTAGAAGCTGGAGCGGCAAAGCGGGCAGTTCGACTTGTTGCTCGTCGTGAACCACTTGCGCTGTGGACAAATTCAATAAATTTTCTTTAATTTTTCCGAAATACTTTTCTATGTGGTAGAGCCACGTAGCTATATTATGCTTGTGTGCAAATGTGTGTGTGTGCGTGTGTGTGTGTGTGTGTGTGTGTTCGTGTGTTAGCTAGAGTACCAGGCACGGAGCGTGGAACTTGTTGCGGCACTGGTGGCAGGGCACGGCGGGCAGGCGGCCGCTGGCGGGGTGCAGGCGGCAGTAGCAGATGTAGCACTGCGGGGCGCTCTGGATGCGCGCCGTCACCGCGCGAATCCACATCTTGAACGCGTTCAGCAGCGTGCCGTTCTGAAATTATCAACATAGTTTTAACATTACTTGACACGATCTGGCTGGGAGGACTGATATTTACTGTAGAATATTTGATTTATTTGCTAATAAAGAAATACATTGCCCTCCCCTAAAATAGGATTTTAAATGAGCCAGTTTATGTGCGTGTGCGAGCGAATGCAGCACCTGGTACGCAAGGTAGACGGTGAGCCAGTGTATGTGCGAGTGCAGCACCTGGTACGCAAAGTAGACGGTGAGCCAGTGTATGTGTGTGTGCGAGCGAGTGCAGCACCTGGTACGCACAGTAGACGGTGAGCCAGTGTATGTGTGTGTGCGAGCGAGTGCAGCACCTGGTACGCAAAGTAGACGGTGAGCCAGTGTATGTGTGCGTGCGAGAGAGTGCAGCACCTGGTACGCAAGGTGGACGGGGAGCCAGTGTATGTGTGTGTGCGAGCGAGTGCAGCACCTCGTACGCAAAGTAGACGGTGAGCCAGTGTATGTGTGTGTGCGAGCGAGTGCAGCACCTGGTACGCGGGGTGGACGGTGAGCCAGTGTATGTGTGTGTGTGTGCGAGCGAGTGCAGCACCTGGTACGCAAAGTAGACGGTGAGCCAGTGTATGTGTGCGTGCGAGCGAGTGCAGCACCTGGTACGCAAGGTGGACGGTGAGCCAGTGTATGTGTGTGTGCGAGCGAGTGCAGCACCTGGTACGCAAGGTGGACGGTGAGCCAGTGTATGTGTGCGTGCGAGCGAGTTCAGCACCTGGTACGCAAAGTAGACGGTGAGCCAGTGTATGTGTGCGTGCGAGAGAGTGCAGCACCTGGTACGCAAGGTGGACGGGGAGCCAGTGTATGTGTGTGTGCGAGCGAGTGCAGCACCTCGTACGCAAAGTAGACGGTGAGCCAGTGTATGTGTGTGTGCGAGCGAGTGCAGCACCTGGTACGCGGGGTGGACGGTGAGCCAGTGTATGTGTGTGTGTGTGCGAGCGAGTGCAGCACCTGGTACGCAAAGTAGACGGTGAGCCAGTGTATGTGTGCGTGCGAGCGAGTGCAGCACCTGGTACGCAAGGTGGACGGTGAGCCAGTGTATGTGTGTGTGCGAGCGAGTGCAGCACCTGGTACGCAAGGTAGACGGTGAGCCAGTGTATGTGTGTGTGCGTGCGAGTGCAGCACCTGGTACGCAAGGTAGACGGTGAGCCAGTGTATGTGTGTGTGCAGCACCTGGTACGCAAGGTAGACGGTGAGCCAGTGTATGTGTGTGTGCAGCACCTGGTACGCAAGGTAGACGGTGAGCTAGTGTATGTGTGTGTGCAGCACCTGGTACGCAAGGTGGACGGTGAGCCAGTGTATGTGTGTGTGCAGCACCTGGTACGCAAGGTAGACGGTGAGCCAGTGTATGTGTGTGTGTGCGAGCGAGTGCAGCACCTGGTACGCAAGGTAGACGGTGAACCAGTGTATGTGTGTGTGCGAGCGAGTGCAGCACCTGGTACGCAAGGTAAACGGTGAGCCAGTGTATGTGCGAGTGCAGCACCTGGTACGCAAAGTAGACGGTGAGCCAGTGTATGTGTGCGTGCGAGCGAGTGCAGCACCTGGTACGCAAGGTGGACGGCGAGCCAGTGTATGTGTGTGTGCGAGCGAGTGCAGCACCTGGTACGCAAGGTGGACGGTGAGCCAGTGTATGTGTGTGTGCGAGCGACTGCAGCACCTGGTACGCAAGGTGGACGGTGAGCCAGTGTATGTGTGTGTGCGAGCGAGTGCAGCACCTGGTACGCAAAGTAGACGGTAAGCCAGTGTATGTGTGCGTGCGAGCGAGTGCAGCACCTGGTACGCAAGGTGGACGGTGAGCCAGTGTATGTGTGTGTGCGAGCGAGTGCAGCACCTGGTACGCAAGGTGGACGGTGAGCCAGTGTATGTGTGTGTGCGAGCGAGTGCAGCACCTGGTACGCACAGTAGACGGTGAGCCAGTGTATGTGTGTGTGCGAGCGAGTGCAGCACCTGGTACGCAAAGTAGACGGTGAGCCAGTGTATGTGTGCGTGCGAGCGAGTGCAGCACCTGGTACGCAAGGTGGACGGGGAGCCAGTGTATGTGTGTGTGCGAGCGAGTGCAGCACCTCGTACGCAAAGTAGACGGTGAGCCAGTGTATGTGTGCGTGCGAGCGAGTGCACCACCTGGTACGCAAGGTGGACGGTGAGCCAGTGTATGTGTGTGTGCGAGCGAGTGCAGCACCTGGTACGCAAGGTAGACGGTGAGCCAGTGTATGTGTGTGTGCGAGCGAGTGCAGCACCTGGTACGCGGGGTGGACGGTGAGCCAGTGTATGTGTGTGTGTGTGCGAGCGAGTGCAGCACCTGGTACGCAAAGTAGACGGTGAGGCAGTGTATGTGTGCGTGCGAGCGAGTGCGGCACCTGGTACGCAAGGTGGACGGTAAGCCAGTGTATGTGTGTGTGCGAGCGAGTGCAGCACCTGGTACGCAAGGTAGACGGTGAGCCAGTGTATGTGTGTGTGCAGCACCTGGTACGCAAGGTAGACGGTGAGCCAGTGTATGTGTGTGTGCAGCACCTGGTACGCAAGGTGGACGGTGAGCCAGTGTATGTGTGTGTGCAGCACCTGGTACGCAAGGTGGACGGTGAGCCAGTGTATGTGTGTGTGCAGCACCTGGTACGCAAGGTAGACGGTGCGCCAGTGTATGTGTGTGTGCGTGCGAGTGCAGCACCTGGTACGCAAGGTAGACGGTGAGCCAGTGTATGTGTGTGTGCAGCACCTGGTACGCAAGGTAGACGGTGAGCCAGTGTATGTGTGTGTGCAGCACCTGGTACGCAAGGTGGACGGTGAGCCAGTGTATGTGTGTGTGCAGCACCTGGTACGCAAGGTAGACGGTGAGCCAGTGTATGTGTGTGTGCAGCACCTGGTACGCAAGGTAGACGGTGAGCCAGTGTATGTGTGTGTGCAGCACCTGGTACGCAAGGTGGACGGTGAGCCAGTGTATGTGTGTGTGCAGCACCTGGTACGCAAGGTGGACGGTGAGCCAGTGTATGTGTGTGTGCAGCACCTGGTACGCAAGGTGGACGGTGAGCCAGTGTATGTGTGTGTGCAGCACCTGGTACTCAAGGTAGACGGTGAGCCAGTGTATGTGTGTGTGCAGCACCTGGTACGCAAGGTAGACGGTGAGCCAGTGTATGTGTGTGTGCAGCACCTGGTACGCAAGGTGGACGGTGAGCCAGTGTATGTGTGTGTGCAGCACCTGGTACGCAAGGTAGACGGTGAGCCAGTGTATGTGTGTGTGCAGCACCTGGTACGCAAGGTAGACGGTGAGCCAGTGCGTGTCGGGCGCAGGTGAGTTCGCGGGCGCGGCGAGGCGCGGCGGCTCCAGCGGGTGCGCGCGCGAGAAGCGCACGCTCAGCTCCACGCGTCGCTCTTCCACCTCCAGGCTACAGCGCGCCTCACCGCTCGACCACTGGATAGACACCTGCCGCGAACACTTTTTTTTAGATTATCATTATAGAAGTGCTCACTAATTTGAGGTTTCTGTACCTAGTCTATACTTTATATATTTCGTACTATATGGTTTTACTCTTGGCATTTGCTAACTTTAGAATGATAACTTGATCTTAAATAATTTTTAATCTTCTGAGCCGGACAGTCTGAATATCACTACAGTATAAATGTCGTAAGAAGCGATTGAATCAGAAGATATACCCTAGCATATTTTCTTATACCAAAGTATAATTACTTTGTAGTGGGTTTGTGATGGTTTCATTTACATTACATTTTATTTCCGATTATTTTTACGGATTTCATTTTCAAATTATGAACAATGTTAACAATTGTTAGTCCCAAAAAATGCTCTTGTAAAATAAACTGATGCAATAAAATAAAGTCACAAAACATTTGTGTGTGTGTGTGTGTGCGCGTGTGTGTATGAGTGCGTGTGTACGTACGTGCGCGTGCGGCAGGCGGTGCGCGTGGGCGCGCAGCAGCGCGAGGTGCGCGCGCACGAGCGGCGGCGCCACGGCGGCGGCCACGAGGCGGCGCGCGCGTGTGTGTGTGTGCGTGTGTGTGTGTGCGTGTGCATGAGTGCGTGTGTACGTACGTGCGCGTGCGGCAGGCGGTGCGCGTGGGCGCGCAGCAGCGCGAGGTGCGCGCGCACGAGCGGCGGCGCCACGGCGGCGGCCACGAGGCGGCGCGCGCGTGTGTGTGTGTGCGTGTGCATGAGTGCGTGTGTACGTACGTGCGCGTGCGGCAGGCGGTGCGCGTGGGCGCGCAGCAGCGCGAGGTGCGCGCGCACGAGCGGCGGCGCCACGGCGGCGGCCACGAGGCGGCGCGCGCGTGTGTGTGTGTGCGTGTGCATGAGTGCGTGTGTACGTACGTGCGCGTGCGGCAGGCGGTGCGCGTGGGCGCGCAGCAGCGCGAGGTGCGCGCGCACGAGCGGCGGCGCCACGGCGGCGGCCACGAGGCGGCGCAGCGCGCGCGCGGCCCGCGGCGCGGCGGCGCCGTACCAGCCGCGCGCCGCCACCACGCCCGGCCCGCCCAGCGCGCCCAGCAGCGCGCGGCACGCGAGCTCGCCCACGCATCGTGTCGAACACACCTCTGCAAGTAACAACCATACCTTGCAATCATTATTCAGTCAAACTAATTTTTTATAACATCAATTCATCCATTACACACACACTCTCACACACACATAGATACACTTTTATTTAAGCTTTCTTTATTTTGAATTATTACTAAGACTAGCTAAAAGTAAAACTTTGTAATGGCTCGCGAATTCTTATAATTTATAACATTTTAAAAAAGAATTGTTCTGCAAAAAATATATTATTGACCTTGGCCAGACCATAAATCTGACTAAGTTGGTCCTAAACCATGTCAGAACCTGAGAGATTATCCAACATGTTTTTTTCATCAAGTTATGCTCCATTCATAATTAGCGCCTTCTAACGTATCTAACGTCGTACTACTACAAAGTATTTTTTTAGTTTTCTTTCAGATGGCGATAATAATACAATGAAAATTGTTATGTTGTCTTCTATTTTTTTTAAATGTAGAAAAATAATATTTTTGATTGATAACACAGAATCTACACATGAATCGACAATACTATGTCAAAGCACAAACCTGAAAGTGTGATAGTTTCTCAGTAAAGTGTTCCATAAAAATACATAGATTATGGGATAGTGCAGTAATGACAAATATGTAACTACTGGGTATTAGTGAAACGCTCCCGAAAACAAAGACAGACGATTGTACTAAAGATACCTTTGATGAAGGGTCATAAAGAAATTCGATCCCGAGGAAAAAAAAATCATCTTTTCACAACGTTTTATTAACTTTATTCACGCTCCATCATGTTCGTACAGGTAAATGAAACGATAATTTCATAAAAAAGTCATGAAATACTTAAACATAAAACCGGCAGTGGAATTACAATCAGCTAACTAGGGGCCAATGTACGCAAGGACGCCGAATTCGCGCGGCCCGCAGCTAGCGATGGTACCACAATACCTAATAATTTACAATACTTGTCTAAATACCTAACTTGCCTACTTAACCTACTATTTTGCCACTGTGCTTGTCTCCACCTAGCCACTTTAATTCAAATTCACAGGTTAAATAAACCAAATACCTGGTTCGATTCCCCGCTAATGAAAAAATTACTTAAATGAAATGTTAACAAGGCTAGTCATCGTTTTTTATCCATCGTGTTTCCACCATGTTTCTTATTCTGATGTATTCAGTTATGTACCTATTCAGATGAGTTCAGTACTAAGTTATTGAAAAAAAAAATTGGTGTGAAACAGTTTACTGATCTAAATCCTCCGTAGCCTTATGAGATTCTCCAAGGAACCTACGCGTTAGGCATTGTTTAGGCCCAAACATGGGCATTTGAAACGGCATCCAATCGCGTTTGACTCAACTCATCGCCCGATGGTGTGAGGTGACGTGCCGGTGGTATGCCGCTTCCCGGCGTTCGGCCTGGTGGGCTAGCACAGAAGCTTGACCGCAGCGGCTCTGTCGACTAGTGTAATTGTTTGCGATCGCTGGATCGGTGGCGCGCGGCCAGTTTTGGTTTTGGTGGTCTAGAATTTGAGTAATGGTGCGCGTCTAATTTACTATTGAATATTTGGGTTTCGTGTAGACCGCCTCGAACTGGTTTGTCTAAGTTGTACGTTTCGTGACAAGAGGCTTGTATTGAATTTGAGTGATTAAAGTAACTTCGTTTGCAAGTAATTTACGTCAATTTGTATAGTGATTGCATTTTGAAGTGCATTTGCAATCTTTAATTTGCTCGAGTGGCCTGTTAATATCGTACGAAAGAATCTTAGTTGTTGTGGGGAACGCGGAACTTTGTGACCCGAGAGAAGGTCGCGTTCGGTTTCTAGAAATAATTTGTTGCTAAGTGAAAACGGAAGTGAACTTTGATCCACCGTTCATTAGTTGTGCCGAGTGTTACGTGTTTGATTACGATTAGCGGGGATTTAGTTGAGTTTGAAGTTAATTAAATGTACAATAAAGTTGATGGATTGAAATAGTGTACAATAAAGTTGATAAACTGAAATAGTGAAATGAAGGACGAAATTTTCAATTGGTGATCTACGACTGGAAGGAGCGCACATTGGGAGAACATCAGCTCCGGTGGATATTCTGTCCGGGCCGTCAGGTCACATATATAAACACTACTACACACTACTTACATGCACTTCACTTATCACCTGACTGGTACCCTGTGGTCAACCCTACAAGGCTTATTACATTACACGATTTCTCGGGCCCTGCCCGCAAGGACAGGGTAGTGTAATAAGAAACAGGGAGTCAGGGTCCCTAAACAGGGCGACCGAGTGGTTCCGACCGCCCTGCTTCCCTGCCGCGCTGTGGATCGTGTAGTGTAATAAGAGACAGGGAGGCAGGGAGCTCAGTTGCGTGGCCGCATGCGCAGAGTCTACACGTTTGTTTATTTAAAGTTCTACTATGTCGATCTACTCTCTAAATCATTACTCGTATTTATGTCATGCGCTAAAGAAAAAGATCCTTCTCAATGTCATCGACATCTACAAAGAAATGCCTTATCAAATCTTGATAGGAGTTTCCAGAGGCCAAAATCGTAAAGTGACAACCAATCTCTCTTAAATATGTATTCTTGTGAAAAAAAAACTTCTTTTACGGATTCTATCGCGTTTAATTTTTTTTTATTAATTCCCGACGTTTCACGGGGGACTGGTTGCTGTAAAGCATCCGAAACGTCGGGAATTAATAAAAAAAAAATTAAACACGATAGAATCCATACAAGTAGTTTTATTCAATGTGTAGTGTTCGCGTAAATATAAGAAATCATTAAAGTATTTTTTTTTCTATTAAAGGCGTTACTAAGCTTAATAACTCGTCGAATTGGTTTTCACCTACTCTTTAAAATAGTTTCGTAGGTCTGTTGGGTCCAAAACGCTGACTATTTGCATATTCGATAGTTTTTCTCTGAGGAGCAAATATTTTTTCATCCACATTTAACTTTCCTTCCTTTTTTAAGCTTGGCCTTGCACGTTACCGCCAGCCAAAGTTTTTTTTTATAGGATAGGGTGTCAAACGAGCACACAGTCCACCCGATGGTAAGTGGTTGCTGTGGCCCATAGACACCTACATTTATCCTCGTTGTTATGCGAATCAAAATGCAGATGCGTTGTCACCCGTGAGGACTGAGATGGAATGCCTCTTTTCCAGTAAAAAGGGTCTCCGGTTCTCTACACTTACCATACGAAACACAGCAGTGTTAAGCTGCTATTTTACGCTGGTATTCTGTGAGAGCGTGGTCCTTCCCCGGTCGAGCCGACCCATTCGTGCTACAACTATACTACTAATATAGCTGTAGTATGGCTCTACCACGTAAAAAAAACAATTAAGCAATTTTTTGACGTTTAGATAAAGTCTGCGCCATAATGCTAGACGTGCAATCATTTCCACGTTCGAGTAACAACTGAGGCAGGAAGCGATTTCTAGCGTAGTGTAATAAGCAGCGCCCTGTCTGGTAGGCAGGGCACACGATGGACAGGGCCCGATAAATCGTGTAATGTAATAAGCCTTTACCTCCTGAAATAGGTAAGTGCTTGCTTATTTGTCAAGCGTTTTTTATTGAACATTTATCCATAGGCCGTTTTTTTAATTCAATATACATTACATGTGTAATTCTTATTGAAAGTCATTTTTTACTTTACCACTGGTTCGAAAAAAACCCTCTGTCCTGGGAAGAACCAGCAAGAAACCCAGCGGGACTTTTTTTTAAAATAAATTTTACAAATAAATAAATGATTACGAATTATTTACAAAATTTATTTTAGAAACTGCTTGAAAGCGACCACCTCATTCCCAGGGGTTATTATCAACCATGTATTCATTTATATTATAATAACCCTTTTTATACAGTTTCAGCTTAATAAAACATTTAAACTTGGTAATAGAGAGAACCTGTACACTTTCCGGGACCTTGTTGAAATAGCGTATACATTGCCCCAAGAATGAATTACTGACTCTGTGGAGTCGAGAAACTGGCATCACTAGCTTGTGTTTGTTCCTAGTGTTTACAGAATGTATATCACTTTTTTTACTAAAACTATCTTTGTTTTTGTGAACATACATTAAATTTTCGTAAATATACTGAGAGGCCAAAGTTAATACATTAATTTCTTTAAATTATCTCTAAGAGACTCTCTCGGTTTTAGATTGTAAATAGCTCTAATGGCCCTCTTCTGTAAAACAAAAATAGTTTCTGAATCAGCCGCATTTCCCCATAGCAAAATCCCATAAGACATCATGCTATGGAAATAACTAAAATAAACTAATCTAGCTGTCTCGAAATTAGTGAGACCTCTAATCTTTTTTACAGCATAGGCTGCAGAACTTAGTCTGCTTGCTAATTTGGATATATGGGGGCCCCACTGGAGCTTTGCGTCAAGAGTGATGCCAAGAAAAACAGCGGATACAACAGGGCTCAATTCCTCCCCATTTAAAAACACATTGGTATTCAGATTTTTAACATTCGTTGTTGTAAATTTAACACAATTAGTTTTATTTCCGTTCAAATGCAGATTATTAACGTTAAACCAATGCACTAATTTTGATATAGCATTATTCACTTCGTCACATTTAAATGATTGACGTTTAAGTTTAAAAATCAAGGAAGTATCATCAGCAAATAATACTATATCATGACTATCCCCTACAAGGTGAGGTAAGTCATTAATATACACCAAAAACAGGAATGGGCCGAGAATCGAGCCCTGAGGAACACCCATTAGTACAGGTGACCCGGAAGAACTTTTACCATTGATAATAACCTTCTGTTTTCTATTTCTTAAATATGAAATAATAAGTTTAAGCGCTGTGCTCTTGACACCATAGTACTGTAGCTTCCTGATTAATGTCTCATGGTGAACACAGTCGAAGGCCTTGGAAAGGTCACAAAATATACCCAAAGCATCCTCTGAATTCTCCCATGCACAAAAAATATCTTTAATAAGTTCAACTCCAGCGTCAGTTGTCGAGCGACCCCTTGTAAATTGCTACATAAAAACCAAATTGATTTTTATGTAGCAATTTATTAATATTAAAGAAACTTAACATCTGCTCTAAAATAATTTTTTAAATTATTTTACTTAATGTTGGTAGTACAGAAATTGGTCTAAAATTGGCGGGGTCTAATGTACTACCAGATTTAAATTTGTGCCACGTCCTCTGTTGCCCGTCGATGGGATTACTCATGGGCCCTAGTCCAGTCAACCTTTGTAGGGGCAACTCAGGGCGTGAGCAGGCATTATTAAAACAAAACGAGAAACATAAAAACTAACAACGAGAATAATAACAACAAGAATTTAATAAACACAATGATTGAACTGTCGCTCACGCGCACGTGATAGTCAACACGGAACTGTCTCAAAAACTAAAATTAATAATTAATCTGGCCAAAACAAATGCCTAGTGCGTCGTAACGTCCTAGAAGCACTGATCATTTCCACAGACCGTTAAACCGTTACGACATTGCCAACGTTTATTTTATTTATAAGTTTAGTTATCCCTACCACTAGTCTTCATATGGAATTTAGAAGTAATGGTTGTCATTTTTAATACAATTACACAATCAATTGTACCCTGACGCAACAAGCAGTTTTTTACTACAAAAATTATATTGAAATTAATAAACGTACATAACTGGGTACTCAGGACTCACACAATTATAAACACTATTTCATCGTTATCTTTGATTTTGTATAAGAAAATAGAAATGAAATGGTACTGAATAATTTAATAGTTAAAATCAATTATAATCGACAGTTAATTAATCTATCAGAATTAATGTAAAAAAATAATACTTTTACTTTATTTTAATTGACTTTCCGTATTTAATCCGACCAATACTTTGAATTTAAAAAGAGGTACGTCAAAATTATTAAAAAATTACTTGCAAGTTTTATAGTGATTGTTGCCTCTAATTCTTATTCTATTGCGGCAAACAAATCTTAGTAGGTAAATTTCGGTGCAACATGGCAATGAACATAATTAAAAAAAATAGTCATTCGATATTCATAAGTAACAAAATGTTAAGATAAGTATTTATATTTCTTGAAAAAAGGTTCTGACTTGGCCCTGGCCATAGATTTTCAAAATCCCCGTATTTTCCCCGCATAATACCAATCCCCATAAAATCCCTAACCAACTTTAAATTCTCCGCAATTTTGGGAAATCCCCACATGTTGGCAAAACTGACATGTGTAAATTCCACAGCACGAGGCGACACGAGCCGGCCGGGCGGCGGTAGTGCGTGTGTGAAAGGGAAGGGTAGACTGAGTAGGCATTGTTTCGCACCGAGCTAGATAAGAGTTCGGCGTCCGCGAGAATATTGATCCTATTGTCAGCTGATTTTATTTTAAGTTCCACTGCTGGTTTTATGTTGAAGTATTTTAATGATTTTTTTTAATGAAATTATCGTTTCATTTAGCTGTATAACATGATGGAGCCTGAATAAAGTTAATAAAACGTTGTGAAAAGATGATGTTTTTCCTCGAGATCGAAATTCTTTATGACCCATCATCAAAGGTATCGTTAGTACTATCGCCTGTCTTCGTTTTCGAGAGCGTTTCACTAACACCTGGTAGAATTATTCTTAATCTGTTGTATAAACAATAATAGGATTCCACGTAGAGGTGGAGACCTGGTGACCTGTAATACGGGTATTATACCTACCATAGGCACCAGCGATCCACAAACAAAGTTGTTAAATTATGTTATATTACCTGTTACTCTTAATTCTAAATGTAACTTTTGCCAATTATTATTATTATTACCTTCCATTTCATATCTCCTAATTTTCATTACATTGTGCAATTTCGATAGTGTAGCTTATATCTACAAAATCCTGGTTAATCGAACTCGAAAGACCATAACGATTTTGAGGGTTATGATTATATGGCAATTGACTATCAATTAACAGGAACGTTTTATTGAATAATATAACGAGGTCCAAAAAATAAGCATACAATTATTTTTATATGATAATAATAGAATTGCAAAATGATTATATTTAATTTATAGTAGATATAATATGGCCCCTAGAGGGGCGTCGGTGAGGTGCTAGGCTAGGCTAGGGCGCAGTCGACATTTAATCCGCCTCTGCCTCCGGACTTGGTAGAGTGACTTAAAGGTGGACTTTGATGACTGCTACTGTAAGTCCTCGACGTGGAGAACTAGATGGGCCGAGTTTGGGCTCGTTTTGTTAGTTATAGATAGACCTTACCTCCCGACTTGACGGAGTGACATGAATGTGTACTTCGGTGATGCTACTGGAACTCTTTGACGAATAGAACTACAATTTACATTTTTTTTCACTATCATATGAGTATTATGTGCACTTTTAGATTTTCCAAACTTTTTTTAAATCGAAGTTAGACAAAATTATCAGATAATTGGAAGTATAGTAATAAGGTTATTAGTGAAAACTTTGGTATTTAAACTACTTTAAAAATTTTAGGTATAATCATGTTATACGTATTTTTTTTAATGCGCTTGAGGAATGCACAATTGGATTTACCAATAGTTTTTAAAATAAACACTGAGTTTAATTTAAAATAAGGTGATCAGAATGGGACGTCTCGACAAAATAGATATAGAACTAATGAACTACTAACTATTCAAATTCTTTTTCAGTTCATTATTCTATTTTCACATGCATGCACACAACATGCACATTTCCATGTTTAGAAGTTGGCCTAAATCAAAAAAATATGATTCAAATATATGGATCGTACAATCGGCAAATATGTCTATTATGAGGGCGATTTGTAGGGAGGTCTAAGCTTAAGATGAATGAATTACTTCTGTTGTATCGCAATCCAGATGCCTCTAACTAACAGGAAGCGACACTGGCGCCACTGGTCCGCAACACAGCAGCATTGGCAACGTACCTTCGACGGTGAAGTCCGGCGTGGTGACGAAGTAGTCCAGGCAGCGCGGCGGCAGCGGCGTGGCGCCCGTGTCGTCACGCGCGAACGCGCCCACCGCGCCCGGCAGCAGCCGCAGCGCGCCGCACACCAGGTACTCCCCGTACTTGCGCTCTCTGCACACCACCACTCTATATACACTCCACACTCCACACCAACAATTCACCGCGCCCGGCAGCAGCCGCAGCGCGCCGCACACCAGGTACTCCCCGTACTTGCGCTCTCTGCACACCACCACTCTATATACACTCCACACTCCACACCAACAATTCACCGCGCCCGGCAGCAGCCGCAGCGCGCCGCACACCAGGTACTCCCCGTACTTGCGCTCTCTGCACACCACCACTCTATATACACTCCACACTCCACACCAACAATTCACCGCGCCCGGCAGCAGCCGCAGCGCGCTGCACACCAGGTACTCCTCGTACTTGCGCTCTCTGCACACCACCACTCTATATACACTCCACACTCCACACCAACAATTCACCGCGCCCGGCAGCAGCCGCAGCGCGCCGCACACCAGGTACTCCCCGTACTTGCGCTCTCTGCACACCACCACTCTATATACACTCCACACTCCACACCAACAATTCACCGCGCCCGGCAGCAGCCGCAGCGCGCCGCACACCAGGTACTCCCCGTACTTGCGCTCTCTGCACACCACCACTCTATATACACTCCACACTCCACACCAACAATTCACCGCGCCCGGCAGCAGCCGCAGCGCGCCGCACACCAGGTACTCCCCGTACTTGCGCTCTCTGCACACCACCACTCTATATACACTCCACACTCCACACCAACAATTCACCGCGCCCGGCAGCAGCCGCAGCGCGCCGCACACCAGGTACTCCCCGTACTTGCGCTCTCTGCACACCACCACTCTATATACACTCCACACTCCACACCAACAATTCACCGCGCCCGGCAGCAGCCGCAGCGCGCCGCACACCAGGTACTCCCCGTACTTGCGCTCTCTGCACACCACCACTCTATATACACTCCACACTCCACACCAACAATTCACCGCGCCCGGCAGCAGCCGCAGCGCGCCGCACACCAGGTACTCCCCGTACTTGCGCTCTCTGCACACCACCACTCTATATACACTCCACACTCCACACCAACAATTCACCGCGCCCGGCAGCAGCCGCAGCGCGCCGCACACCAGGTACTCCCCGTACTTGCGCTCTCTGCACACCACCACTCTATATACACTCCACACTCCACACCAACAATTCACCGCGCCCGGCAGCAGCCGCAGCGCGCCGCACACCAGGTACTCCCCGTACTTGCGCTCTCTGCACACCACCACTCTATATACACTCCACACTCCACACCAACAATTCACCGCGCCCGGCAGCAGCCGCAGCGCGCCGCACACCAGGTACTCCCCGTACTTGCGCTCTCTGCACACCACCACTCTATATACACTCCACACTCCACACCAACAATTCACCGCGCCCGGCAGCAGCCGCAGCGCGCCGCACACCAGGTACTCCCCGTACTTGCGACGATATGTCGACGCGGAGGATTCCGATACTGACAACAAGACAACAAGAGGAGTGCCTTGAAACTGAGGAGATACGACGAAAAGGTTCTTTTTAGCGGTAAACGCGCAAACTTGTGACTTCTGAGAATTAAACTGGACTAGATTTAGTCACCCCCAATCCGAGACTTTGTTCAGCAAAGACTCGACTTCAGACACAAGTTTGTTGCGATACTCGGCGACGTTTTCCCAAGAAATATTGGCACGGCCGGTTTATAGAGCACCACCAGTGCTGTCATCCGCATAGCAATGAATGTTAAATATAATGTTTGGTTTGCAACATATCATTGATATGTAGAAGAAACAGTGTTGGTGATGCACGCAGCCTTGTGAAACACCAGCGTTAATAGGCTTGTAGTCGGAGCATGCACCGTCTACGACGACCTTTATGCTCCGATCTGCAAGAAAGCTGGTGATCCAATTGCACAATTTCTCGGGAAGCCCATAGGAAGGGAGTTTCGAAAGAAGCGATTTGTGCCAAACCCGATCGAAGGCCTTCGCAATGTCCAAACAAACCACCAACGCCCTCCCTTGGACTCTACTGTCTCCGCCCATCCACCCCGATGAAAACCGTATTGGCGGTCACTAATAAACTGGTGATCCTCAAGGTACCGCATGAGCTGGCAGTATATAATGGATTCCATTATTTTGGAGAACAAGGAGGTGATGGCGATAGGCCTGTAGTTGGACGGATCTGAGCGGTCGCCTTTTTAGAGCTCGGGTGGACAAAAGCTATCTTCCATGATTTCGGGACTACTCCTAGGGAGTAGAACTACCGGAAAAGACGCGTTAGTCCCGGTGCCAACTCTGAAGCACACGTCCTCAGCACAATTAGGGGGATTCAGTCAGGCCCACTCGAGTTGTGGATGTCCAGGGAGAGGAGTGCTTTGGGAACCGAGCGCTGTGAGAACCATACATCCGGCATGGAGCACTCACGCCGTGGGATGGTCGGCGGTGTGTTCCCCCCGTCATAAGAGTCGAGTTGGACGCAAAAAGGGAGCCTAAATGGTCGGCTTTCTCTTTTGCGGCGTGGGCCAGTGAGTCGTCCTCCCTGTGCAGAGAAGGTAGTGATGGCTTACAGAAATTCCCTTGGACAGCCTTAGCGAGAAACCAGAATGCACGGGTTCCCGAAGGAAGGGGAACCAGTTTCTAGCCAATTCTGCCTTGGCAATGCTCTGACTTTGCCTTGGCAATAACTCTTTTGAAGGACCTGGAGGCGAAGTTATGCTTCTTTTTAAGCATGCTGGTGTTTACATCCCGAGCCGCCGAAGCCTCAGCATAGGCCTGATAACACTACTGCTTACTGCGTAATGCAGTCATACAGGGGCGACCAAATCAAGGTTGAGATCTGCCTCTGATGGGTACCACAGATAATGGAATAAATAGCTCCATTTCCTGTAGCACCACATCAGTGACAGAGTCAGCAACAGCTCTGGGATCATCCGGCGAGAAGCAAACCCGCTCCCATGGGTAGGAAACAAAGAAAGACCGCATTCCGTACCCAATCCGCTGACCTGTAATGCCAAATACGGCGGCAACCTGCAGAACGCAACAGCGAAGGGAGTGTAAGTGGCACCGTACTCCGAATCAGACAATGGTCCGAGGAGCCAAGAGGGGCATCGACGGAGACCTGATATCCGCCCGGATGAGAGGTCAGCAGAAGGTCCAATAGGGAAGGTACATGATCTTCCACGTCTGGGATCCGTGTAGACGAGGTAACCAGTTATGTCAGACCATATGCCAAAGCAAAGTCATAAACAGATCTACCCGTATTATCGGTTAAACGAGAACCAAGCCAACGCCGCAGAAGAACACAAAAACTCTCCGATCACACTCTTAATCTCATGGCTGTTAGACGGGAAATGAAGCTGCAGTCTTCAACAGATTTGACAGCATACAGGCAACTGAACAGACAGATCTCCAAATGCATGCGGCGGGACTTATACTACTTTAATACTGCACGTATTGAAGAAGCGATCGAGCGGAACCAGGGCTCCAAAGTCTTTGCCAGAGATCTGTCTGCCAGAAAGAGCCAACTGTCAAAGCTGAAGACCGATTGTGGCAGCATCGTTTCCGGGACACCTGAGATTTTGAGTGAGATTGAGAGGTTCTATGGGCAGCTATACACGTCATCGTTGGAGCCACACGCAAGTGTGAGTAACGATCCAAGAGCGAGTCTTATCCGACACTATTACGAAGATATTCCGGACGTCAGTCTGAGCGAGATTAGAATGGCTCTCCAGCATCTTAAATACGGCAAGTCGCCGGGCGAGGATGGAATTACAGCGGAGCTTCTGAAAGCGGGTGGAAAACCGGTACTTGAAGTCCTTCAGAAGCTCTTTAATTGTCCTCCATGGTGGTACTACTCCGGAGGCGTGGAACAGAAGTGCGGTGGTCTTGTTCTTCAAGAAAGGCGATAACGCTATTTAACAGACCGATTTCCCTTCTGAGCCTCGTCTACGTGCTGTTTTCGAGAGTCATTACGAATCGTCTCGCACGCAGACTCGACGACTTCCAGCCTCCCGAACAAGCCGGTTTCCGAAAATAATAATAATAATAACTGTGAACTAGCAAATTTGGCAGAACAATTCTCAAACGATATCAAAATGGAATTCGGCATAGATAAATGTAAAATAAATTCAATTAGAGCAGGACAGAATTACCAACACCAATACACTTTAGGAACAGGAGAACAGATAGAACCATTAGAGAAACAAGATAGTTATAAATACCTTGGCTACACACAATCACAACAGATACACTATAAAGAAACTAAACAAAAATTAACACTACGATTTCAACATAGACTAAACACAATTCTGAAAACGCAACTATATTCTCGAAATACAATCAAAGCAATCAACACCTTCGCTATACCGGTTCTCACATATTCTTTTGGGATAATCAATTGGACCAAAACCGATCTGAAAAACCTTCAACGAAAAATTTATACCACAATGACCAAATTCCGCAAACACCACCCACGATCATGTCTGCAGAGATTAACACTGCCGCGGAAAGAAGGAGGTAGAGGACTAATTGATATCCTAAACCTACATAACAGACAGATAAAAACACTCAGACAATTCTTTTTCTCAAAAACCGAAACCTCTATTCTTCATAAAATTATATCACAGAACGACCAAAACTTAACACCCCTAAATTTAAAAGATACAACTGAACAGAAAAATGAGAAAGTAATTGAGGACAAAACCAAGCTTTTAGAATGGACGCAGAAATCTCTACATGGAAGACATCGCCAAGACTTATAGATAAATGTCGACAAAGAGGCGTCGAACGCGTGGTTAAATCGAGGCGAACTCTTCCCGGAGACTGAAGGGTTCATGTTTGCTATACAGGATCAGGTAGTTGAAACCAAAAACTACAGAAAGTTTATCATAAAGAATTTAAGTAATGACACATGTAGGAAATGCCATAGCTCTTCAGAAACGATTCAGCATATAACAGGCGCGTGCAAGTCAATAACCCAAACAGACTACAAAACTAGACACGATCAAGTAGCCAACATTATACACCAAAAATTAGCACACCAGTACAAACTTA